CACACTGCGTGATTGTCACTCGCGTGAACGAGCACTGATTTGCCTCCGATGTCGGGCATTTGTCGGCGATTTCACAAAACCTGTCGGCGAGTGAAAAATCGGGTTAATATCGTGCAGTGTGAACTCGGCATAAGGCTGTGGCAGAAGTCAGTTGTAGTTCTTGTGTTTCTCTTTTCTTCAGTGATTCTGCTTGTTAACAGCAGCTGTTCATCACTAATGCTCAATCAGCACTTAATTAATCACTTAATTATCTCATTAACTTTAACACTGCTTCAGTGTTACTTTAACACTCTTTTAGAGTGGGACCATATATGCTCTGAGCAGTGTTAATTTAACACTCAGGATTTTACTGTATATATTGTAAAGCTCAAAGACATTAATTATTATTACAAAGTCTGTTCTTTAGGGTCTAATGAAAGAATTGCCCTGGCTGGCAGCTTAAAATCCCAAACAGAGTAGTCCTGCCCTCTTGCATCACAGCATTATTCTTCACAGCATAGAAAACAGTTGTGCTCCCAGTTTGAGAAACGCTGACACAGCTGGAAATGCTTCTGTTATAAGCAAATTCATCAGCATATTCCCACACGCTAGTCCTCAGTCACACAGTGTATGCACTTGGCACTTGTACAGCTCTAGCGCAGTGGTTCCCAATCCTGGTCCTGGAGAACCCCCAACACTGCACGTTTTTGGTGTCTCTCTTATCTGACACTCACATTTGAGGTCTTGGAGCAGGGCTGTCCAAACTCGGTCCTGGAGGGTCGGTGTCTTGCAGAGTTTAAGGGATAAGAGATAAGGGAGACATACAAAAGGTGCAGGGCAGGGGGGCCTCCAGGACAGGTTTGGGAAGCCCTGCTCTAGATAATACATCTAATTTCAAAAAGCCATCAATAGCAAATGTTGTGTCATTGCCTCTTGGGAAAAAATAAGAGAAAACATTTGGTGAAAGTATTCAATGTTCATATATATATATATATATATATACACATTTACATTTACATTTAGTCATTTAGTACCGCTGCATTCTGAATCATTTGTAGAGGTTTGATTGTGCTTGATGGAAGTCCAGCCAGAAGAGCATTGCAGTAGTCCAGCCTAGAGATGACAAGGGCCTGGACAAGAAGTTGTGCAGCATGCTCCGTTAGAAAGGGCCTGATCTTTCTGATGTTGTGCAATGCAAACCTGCAAGATCGAGCGGTCTTTGCAATGTGGTCTTTGAAGGTCAGCTGGTTATCAAAAGTTACACCAAGATTTCTGACCGAAGTTGATGGGGTAATTGTAGAAGAACCTAGCTGGATGGAGAAATCATACTGTAGAGTTGGAGTGGCAGGGAAGACAAGAAGCTCAGTCTTTGCCAGGTTGAGCTGTAGGTGATATTCTTTCATCCATGCCGAGATGTCCGCCAGGCAGCCTGAGATCCGTGCAGCTACCGTTGGATCATCTGGTTGAAATGAAAGATAGAGCTGTGTGTCATCAGCATAGCAATGGTAGGAGAAGCCAATATAGCCATATATATATATATGTCTATATATATGTCTGCAACTTATAATTGTCCAGTTGCATCCAGCTTGTGTGGTTAATCTCTTATTTTTATTAAATTTTTGTCATGCGGAACAAAATACAGATTAGAAAACTGATAATTCTGGTAATTGATAATGATATGTTGACCCCTGTTTGAAGCGAGTTTAA